TAAACATTATGGCTGCACCATGAACCCACGAGTATATTATGTGTATTGTGTTAATGACACAAACAAGCTTTGTGTTCAATAACTAGCGCCAAACATGTCGTTCTCGTTTCGATGACAACGGCATCATATATCTGATGACTCAGTGTTTGGGTACAAAACACTTAATTTGGCCCATTAATCTTCTATCGGTACAATTCTTCATTATCATTGTTATCATTTGTTTCCAAACATTGCTTTCGGTAACCATATCTGCTATGGCGTTGTACCTAACAATGTTAGGAAAAGCCTATATCAAATGTCCCTCTTTTGTAAAAAGCCCAAAAACCAATTAACAGGGAAGTGATTGGTGATGTATATCCCTCCTGGTGTATATCTACAGATGTGTTGTATAAAGAGACTCTTGCTTAATGACCCAACCCCTCCTCCTAAGGTCTAGGAGCGAGAGAGAGAACGAAAGAGATAAAGGAACTGTGTTCTCCTTTAAGACGGTCGAGGAAGAACTCCAACAACTGAACCGTATGACGTGTTCTCCCCATCCCAGTGAGAGCTCCTCTTGGGGGAAAGTTATTAAAGATAATAGGTAAAGGTCCTCATGTTTTATTCACAATCAGTCATTACGATTCTGTACAGCAGCGTTATTATATTGGTCTTTCTTTGGTTAGTATGTAATTTCTTTCCTCCCTTAGACAAGCTTCTCATTGGTTCGGCATTAATGAAAGGATAGTCTTTGGTGTTTCAAAAGAATATGTAAATAATAAAATGATATTCATGTGAAATTTTGTATACAAATATGTATTAAATTGTATATTTTATGATAAATTTGTGTTTATATTCCTATCGATTCCTACCTGGCTGTGGATCTGTCAATTATGAATAAGTGATGAATCAGGAAAGAAAATCACACACCGACAACTAAAATGAATGTGCTTGCCAAACAATTTGATACAAAGCGAAATGAGCAAGTGAGCAAGAGAGAGAGGAGAAGGTATAAAAGGGGAAGGTGGTGAGAGAGAGAGGGGGAGGCAGATAGACAGACAGACAGAGACAGAGATAGAAGGAACACTCATTTAACAAGAAAGAAGTATGCATTGATAATAAT